CCTGGTTTTAACGTAATAAGTTTTTCCATTCACTTCATTGGTAGTAAAATTAGGAGCTAGTGATAGGAAGATGATTAATCTAAAGGTTTTTAATCAGCATTTGTCCATGCTTTTGATAAATGAGAAAACAATACCTTTATGTCTTCATTACTAGACTATCACTCTGCTGAGGGCTGCTGTATCCTTAGGATCATACAGGAGGCCTGGCAACTAATAGGCTACATCAAATATTTATTAGATTAAATCAAAACAAGTCACAAAATACATGATTTGATTACACCTATGTACAGATGTGGAGTTCAATTAGCATTCAGCTACTAACCAGAAGGTCAGATTTGAAACCCACCAGCCACTCTGCCAGAGAAGAGATGAGGCTGTCTGCTTCTATAAAGATTTACAGCCTTGGAAACCCTATGGGGCAATCCTACTTTGTCCTATAGGGTTTCTGTGAGTCAGAATTGATTTGATGGTAGTGGGTTTGGGTGGGTTATGTAGTTATGTACGAATGGGAGTCCCTGGCTTGTACAAATAGCTTACACACTCAGCTGCTAACTGAATGGTTGATGGTTCAAGTCCACCAAGAAATACTTTGAAAGAAAGGCTTGATGATCTACTTTCTGAAAAATCAGCATGAAAAACCTAAGCGAACAATTCTACTATGACACATTTGGGGGTACCATGAGTTGGAATTGACTCATTGGCAACTGATTGGTTATGTCTAAATAATTTAGTCAGGAGAAAAATCCAGGAAGGAAATATACCTGTGTATTGACAGTTGTGATTAGGTGGATTGAACTCTGAGTAATTGCACTTGAGTGCTAACCAGAAGGTCCAGTTCAAACCTGCCAGCTGCTTCATGGAAGGAAGATGGGGTGATCTACTTCCATAAAGATTTACAGCCTCAGAAACTCAGTGGGGGTCTCTATGAGTCAGAAATGACTTGATGTCAGTGAGTTTTCTTTTTTTGGTTTCTTCTTCAAGAGCTGGGGCTTTGGAAGTTGCATTCTCATTGGACTGCTAAATGACTTGTGCAAGTTACTTAACCTCTTTGGGCTCAGTTTCTTTATCCATAAAACAGATACTCTTGTGTCTTTATTAGGATTATTGTGGAAGAGTGGATTACAAGTATATACAGAGAGAGCAGAACACTTGGGTCAAGTACTATTTTTCTTTTAGTTATGAGTTCATCACAGATTAAGCTTCCTTAGTATAGAGTTCTTTAGTCCTTCCCACCTTTTAAACAAAGAAGATATGTATAATGAAGGTATTACAAAGAAGTTATTGAGAATGTATTTAATTGGATAGAAAGAGAGAAACTGTGGAGTATATAAAAAGCAGGTTGTTGTTGTTATGTGCTGTCAAGTCAGACCCGACTCATAGCGACCCCTCCTTGGGTTTCCGAGGCAATATCACTACGGAAGTAGCTTGCCCACCCTTCCTTCCGGAAGTAGATTGCCCAACCTTCCTTCCGAGGAGCGGCTGGTGAGTTTGAACCACCAGCCTTCTGGTTAGTAGTCAGGTGCCTTAGGCACTACGCTAGGGATTAAAATGCAGCAGAACATTCAAGGGGATGATTCTAGTTGGTTTCAATCACGACTATAAAAACTAAAAACTATTGTACTTTTTGGTGAATTTAGTATCTTGGCAGTAGTTGATCTGGACTTAACGTAATTTAGGCTCTCTCTTAACTACTGGAATTGTTTTTCATGTATGTTTTGCTCTTCATTTTATCTAACATTTTAGGAAGACATTTTTCTTTCTTTCTTTTTTTTTTTTTTTTTTTGAGGGACATTTGCAAACTTCCTCTACTGGAAATGTGTTTTTTTTTTTTTTTTTAATTTTTATCATGATTTGGGTGAAAGTTTATAGAGCAAATTCTTTTTCCATACAGCAGTTCATAAACATTTTGTCTGATGACATTGACTGCAATTCCTCATAGTGTAACATCTCTCTTCCCACTTCCTCCCCATGGTTACCTCTTCCCTGTGTCCTTCCCTCTCATGCACTCCCACCCTCACACCTGGCTGTCTCCTTGTGCAAACACTGTCCTTCTGTTCTCCCATGATTGATTGCTCCAAGGAGTGTATTTATCTGATGTAAATGTTCATCCTGTATGCCTGTCTGTTGTTTGGCTGGAAGCCACAGGAGTGAGTTCAATTCTAGACCTTAAGGGTAGCTAGGAGCTGTAGTCTCAGGGGTCTCACCAGCCTCTATCAGATGAGCAAAGCTCGTCTTTTTTTTTTTAATGATTTTGAGTTTTTTCCACATTGTTCTCCCATTCTATCCAGGATTTCCTGCACTGATCCCCCTTCGAGTGTTTGACAGTAGTTGCTGGGCACCATCTAGTTCTTCTGGTCTCATGGTCATATAGGCTAAGGATTGCATGGTCTAGTCCCTGGGAGTAATTGTCTCTCTGTGTCTTTGGTTTTCTTTGTTCTTCTTTGCTCTGGTTGAGGAGAGACCCATCATTGCATCTAGATGGCTGCTTGCAAGCTTTTAATGTCCCAGTCACCACTCACCAAAAGTAGGATGTAGAACAATGTTTTTGTGTAGTATGTTATGCCAGTTGAGCTTGATGTCCCCTGCAACCATGGTCCTAGGAAGACTTTTTTCCTTTTATGGCCCTGTTCAGGTTCCTGTTTAAGAATTGAGTTACTTTTCTCCTGTCATTTTACAGCTCTGCTTTAGATATTTAGTGTAATTTAAATGAGTTCTTATTAAAATGTCTATTTAAAAACTTGGTTTTGATGTGGGGAGGTGAGATACAGAGAAGGCAGCTGAGTATTTAGTATTGTGCTTCTCACAAGAGACTGGCATGGAGTTGATGGATACTTCTATATTTCTTCATCTTTTTGATTAAAGAAAATTGTGAATTTTACATCTTTTTACCCATTATCATATAGATTTTATTATAATATTTTTGGCCATAGAATTAGAATGGGATATACTTCTACTGGCTTTTGAGCCATTAATGCCACTAGATTTCTTGATATCAAGATCTCTACTAAATAAATAATTTGTTATTGCTTAAGTGTCTTTAAAAGGCTTAACAAATTTAAAAAAATATAATTTATGTAATTAAAGTAGGATTATAATAATGAAGAAGAGAGAGTCCTTTCCACAGGAGCTTAAAGTCTAGTGGGGACAAAGATGAGTCTACATAAAGAAGATTAGTGACAGAAACAAGGCCATGGGTGTGCAGAGAGGTAGATGGGCACATGCCCTAATCCAGTGGTTAGATTGGCAGGGAAGGAGAGAGGAGAGAGATGAGGTTCAGGGTCCTGGTTTGGATACTGTGTCATTCTCTAAGTAGGGGCCATTGGAGGAAGAAGAGGGTCAGTAATGGTCATTGTTCCTGTGGGGCCTTGGGGTATCTGGATGGAAATGTCCAGGAAGTCACTGGCTTTGTACCCTGGAATCAGAGAGATCTAAGGAACAAGCATCATTAGCACAGAAATGAGGGGGATGTGTGCAGTGGAAGGAGCTCTGGTGGCACAGTGCCTAAGGCATTTGACTGCTATCCAGAAGTTTGGTGGTTCAAACCCACCAGCCACTCTGCAGAAGGAAGACTGGATAATCTACTTCTGTAAAGATTTACTGCCTTAGAAACCCAATAGGGGTCGCTATGAGTTGGAATCGACTGAGTGGCAGTGATTTTGGTTTTTTTGGGGGTGTGCAGTGGAACAAGAAGATGGGAGTGCCGACACATACAAGGACAAACAGGTAGAAGAAAGAGCCAAGGAGGCAGCTCTTTGTTACAGAGCACCAAGATACATTGTCACATGAAAAAGGCATGGTGTGTATGGAAAAGAATAGCAATGTGGTGGCACAACATGAAAAATGTAATCAATACTATTGAATTGTAAATGTGGAAGCTGTATTGGTGTTTTGGTGTGTATATTTTCACCACAATGAAAAAAAAAAGGCAAAGTACAGAATTTTTCCCTTTTAAAGAGTCTGCAAAGCTTGTAAGTGACTGCCTCTGAAAAGGAGAATTGGGTAGTTGAATTTTCTACCATATTTGGGGATTACCTATTCCAAGAATTTTTATTTTTAAAAGAATAAGCAGTTAAATTGAAGCCAGAAAGATCAGAGGAAAATTAGTAGCCAGCAGTGTCAAGTGATGCTGAAGGTCAAATGACATAAAGATAAGAGGTGCTATTTTAGTAATAAGGAGGGCTTCATCTGTTCGTGAAAGTTTATGTGTAGTAATGGTGGTAGAAGTCAGACCACAACAGATTACTGTTTTCAGTCCTAAATGTCAGCAGTTAGGTTTGTCTATGAATGTGTGTGAGAGAGAGGTTTGGGAGGGAGGATACTTTGAAGTTTAACCATTTTTCTTAATATATAAAATGTTCTCAATTTAACTTAAAGCTTGCAATATTAGAACTTGAATGAACCCTGTCTAACCTCCTTGCTTTATAAATGAGGAAATGAGGTCTAGAGAGAAGGGGATGCCGCACTGGGATTAGTACAAGGCCCAGCCAGGACCTGCTTCTCTGTGCCAGCTCCACCTCCTAGCAGCTGTGTGACCTTTGGCAACTTACCTAACCCCTCTATGCCTATTTCCTCATCTGTAAAATGGGAGTGATAGTTGTATATTATGGTTTATTATGATTATTGATGTATGTAAAGTGCTCAGAACAATGCCAGGTACAGTATTTGCTCAGGAAAGATTGTTGTTGTTGTTGTTATGTGCCGTCGAGTCGGCCCCGACTCATAGCGACCCCTCCTTGGGTTTCCGAGGCAGTATCACTACGGAAGTAGGATTGCCCAACCTTCCTTCCGAGGAGTGGCTGGTGGGTTTGAACTGCCAGCCGTCTGGTTAGCAGGCAAGTGTCTTAGCCACTATGCAGGAAAGATTAGCTGTTAATTTCTTACTCAAGCTACTGTTCTTTCCAATATGCTATTGCCATAATGTCTCTAGAATTTATTTCTTAGTAAAAGCCTTAGACCTTTACTCCAATTTACTGCTTTTTATTCTACCTCTTTCTCCTTAGACCAGTTGACAGGTTTGATCGAGACCGACCCCTGAGAGGACGAGGAGGTGCAAGAGGGGGAGTGCGAAGCAGAGGGAGAGGTGGTCCCATGAACAGAGCTTTCGATGGTTTTGACCAGAGAGGGAAACGTGAATTTGAAAGATATGGTGGGAATGATAAAATGTAAGTTTCTTTGTAACACCATTTTCACTTGAAGATTTTGGTAATACATGGTAAGAATCTGTTATATGCTTTTAAGCATACTTGACTTTATATTAGTATGCTGATGTTATGAGAGTCTAATCCTAGGGCAACTTTTTTGATAAGCTTGTTCTGATTTGGATGCTTATGGGAGACTTGTTTCCAGCTTAAAGGATATTCTTTCTTTCTCCAGAGCTATCAGAACTGAAGACAACATGGGTGGTTCTGGAATTCGCAGCTGGGCATCCAGTAAGGATACCAGGTATGGTGCAAAGGTGTGCCCTTTGTGAGCCTACGGCCATACAGAATACTCTGGATCTTTTATGCTTTTCTTAGAAATGATGACCTCAGTGTCATGCTTAAGGAAATACTGATTTTAGGCTTTGTTTAGTGAATAACTTTTTAAAACAGCTTTGTTTTGTTGCATTATATGTTGAATTGCTTTTAAAATTCTAATTTTATCTTATTTTAACCAAACAAATATGTGGCAGGTGACCACATCTGCTAGTGTCCCATGTACATGGTGCTGCCTGGGAATGCCTTTGAAATTCCTGGCATTCTGCTTAGTGGATTATTTTATGGGATTTTTTTTTTTAACCTTTTAAAGTTCTTCTTCAAAGATACACTGTATCTTGATTTTATAAATTCATTTGCAGATTGAAGCTCAGGTCAGATTTTACCTGTGCTTCAAATGTGACATTTTTTGAGGCTTCCAGGTGCCTAAAATCTGGCCAGTTTTGCAAGTTTGAGTACGTCTTCTCTCTGTTCTGTCATTTCACAGCTGTGGGAACAATGTCTTTCTAGCGACTGCAGAGGCTTAGATAGGAAGCACTACAAGGGCCCTATCAGGTTTCCCAGAGGACAGGGTGCATGGCAGGCTTTCGGAAGTACGAGGGCTTGCGGGACCTACTTCTGCTTTGCTACTTTTGAAGAATATAAACAAAAACTTTGCCATTCAGCATTTTTATACATGCACAATTCAGTGACATTACTTTTATCATGTTGTGCAACCATTACCACTATGCATTTCCAAAGTTTTCCATCAACTTTATCAGAAGCTCAGTGCCTTCCAAGCAATAAGTCTCTTTTCTCTTTCCTGCCTGCCCTTGGTAATCACTAGTAATGTTTGGTCTCTGTACATTTAACCATTCTAGATACTTCATCTAGGTGGAATCATAGAATATTTGTCCTTTTATGGCTAACTTATTCAATTAGCATAATGTTTTCAAGGTTCATCCATGTCATAGCATGATGAAGACTTCATTTATTTTTATGGCTGAGTAATATAATCTATCATATGTATCTTCCACATTTTGTCTATTGAGTCATCTGTTGATGAACATTTAAGTTGTTTCTATCTTCTGGCTATTGTGAAAGGAATATAAGCTTTTTACATAAACTTTTTTTTAAAAGTTGTTTTCTTGAAAGTTATATCTATAAAATAACATCACATGTAATAACTGATTTGCTACTTTTGCACACCTGTGTTGTCCTTGAAAAGAAGAAGAGATGTGCTGAGTGTCTCTCTGTTTGGAGTGTGTGGTGGTTAGGTTTGTATGTCAACTTGGCTGGGCCTGATTGAGTGGCTGGGCACCTGGTCATAGTTATTCCCCATGATGAGACTGGTAATTAACTCCATGGTGGAATCTATTGGAGTAGTTGGTGGTCTGCTTCCCGTATATAAGAAACAGCTTTGGGAATGCTCTCTAGCTTAAGGCACGCTTGTACCCTGCATGTAGCTGTGTTGTTGTTCAGCAGCCTGCCATGTTCTGCCAACCTGGGGACTTTCAATGAACTTGAATTAATGGCTTGCCGTGTAGTTTGGTAACATCAGGACTATGCCTTTTTACTTGTCAACCTTGGGCTTGTCAGTCTTGGCAGCCAGAAACTGTCTGAGTGAAAAAAAGCCTCTAGCTTCAATGGGCCGGGAGCGGGAGGCAGAGCTGAAGCCAAGGTTGAGGGACTTTCACCCAGCCCTTAGAGCCTGGCACTTTGAACTCGGACTTAAAGCCTCCAAACTGTGAGAGAATAAACTCCTGTTTGTTCAAGCCATCCCCTTTGTGGTATTTTCTGTTAGAGAAGCACAGAGATAACCAAAACAGAGTGCCACAAGGTCTCTATTACAAATCTTGTGTTATTGTACTTTAATAATATAAACAAAATAGTACAAACCCAAGACAAGCCCACTGCCATCGTGTCAATTCTGACTCATAGCAACCCCCAGTGGGTTTCCAAGGGAGTAAATCTTTCTGGAAGTAGATTGCTCAGTCTTCCTTCCATGGAGTGGCTGGTAGGTTTGAACCACCAACCTTTTGGTTAGCAGTCAGATGCCTTAGGTACTATGCTACCAGAGCTCCTTCAGAATAGTACAAGCACCTTCTAAATCATGATTTACTGCCTTACTTGATACACTCCATTTTAGTTTTCATTTGTATCTAAAATCATTTTGGCTCCAAGTGGTTCCTTACTCTAAGGGGCCTATGTTGAACTTGGAAGGTACTCCTGATGGACTGTCATATAGCAATGTGAAAATGACTCCCACTGCATTGCACACATTTTGAGTTGTCTTATGAGTTATAAAGTCAGAATTCATAGGTGGTAAAAATTTGTAATTGAACAATTTTCTTAGGATAAGATTTTCATGTTTTATTTAATTAGAGATTTGGATTTAACATCATGAAAATAATGTAGTGCAGTGAGGTTTTGTGCCACTTTGGATTCGAGGAAAAAAAACAAAACTAGGTGAACCCAACACAAGAAGTGACTATGTCCGTACCTGGTGAGGGCCAAGTGCTGGCACAGGGCTTTGTAGAAGTGAGAGTTTTGCTATTGGGTTTTGCTTGTGTTCCTGCTTGAATGTGTTGGCAGTGATAACTGCGTGTATGGGCAAGAGGATTTCAAAATGGTGTGACTGAGCCATTTCCAATATTTTGATATTCTTCAACAGTTTGACAGTGAATGTGCTGAAAATGGAATTTTTTTTCCATCTGTGGTAATTACGGAAGTATAACATCTGATAATATTTTCCTGTTACCAGTCGGAATAGAAAGCCATGAATAACCTTTTCAGTAATGCTGCCTTCCAGTTTTTATTGTGAAGAGCATGAGTTTTACTGTCGTTAATCAAGCAATATTTGATTAAAACTTGTTCACTGTCAGAGATTGGTTAAGTGTGAAGTCTGATTAAATCTGCTTGAAGACCAAAGGCTTCACGTGTTTAACATCATTTTATGGAACATACTTGTCCAAAGAGCATCCTCTGCATTAGTATATAAAAAGTCAAAATACAGGCATGGATCCTGGTGCATCTTTCTTCTTTATAAATCCAACATCAAGACTTACTTTAAACAAAATCACATAATATGCCAGAATAGATTGTTGTTGTTGTTATTTGCCATCGAGTTGGCCCCGACTCCTAGTGACCCCTCCTTGGGTTTCCAAGGCAGTTATCACTACGGAAGTAGGATTGCCCAACCTTCCTTCCGAGGAGTGACTGGTGGGTTTGAACCGCCAGCCTCCTGGTTAGCAGTCAAGTGCCTTAGGCACTATGCTACCAGAGCTCCTCCAGAATAGATTATTGTTGCTAATTTTGAAATTTACTTGTTTTCTAGGTTTGGTTTTGTGGACCTGTAAGAGCTGTAAGCAGACTAGTTTTATGTTTATTCATAAAATGATTTAGATCAATAGAGATTGGCAATCTATGATTTTTTTTTTTTAATAGATTGTCAAATGTGAGAAATGCTGGTTTTACAGTCTTCTTGTTTTGTATTCCTTCTATTTTTTCCTCCTAGTTCTTCGTCACCATTTTATGATTAATTAATTGTTGAAGGCTATGTACTGTCAGTAAACCTATGTTATTTTACCCTCTTGGTTTATTAACAGAGCCAGGGAGTAAAGAAAAAGTTTGGATAATTAATTCAGCACTTCTGCTAGATTTTCAGAGTACTGAACGCTAAAGAAAATCTTGGGTCCCCACTGAAGTCAAGGCTAATGTACACATGCTGGCCCATTTATGATGGGAGCAGCTACTGGGCAAACTAGCAAGTGCATTATCTAATGTGAGATTTTATTTTTTTAGTAAAAGTTACTCATATTTTGTGTTAAAAATTGAGTTTTTAAAAATGTTGATCATAATATCTTTGAGTTAAGAATATATCAATTATTTAAATGTAAAAAAGTTTGTTCTGTTGTTGTAGTTCAATTTCTATTTACTATTTTTAAAATTAACTTACTATTAAAACCTTCACTGAAACTTCTTGAATTTGGAAAAAGTATATAGACTATGAAATATTTCTAATGGATATATTTCTATTGACTAATTTTAGTATTTTCCTGAAAATGAAATTTCTTTTCCTGGGACTTTTTTTCAAAAAAAGTACTGATCTGATAGGATTAATGTTAACATGAAAAGGAAAAATTGAGATCATGTACATTAAAATTCAGATGATTTCTCATTGTGTTGTGATTTTCAATCTGTAGATTGTGTATTTAGACATTATGGTATATAAATCAATGCCTGTTTCAAAGCTTGGTTTTCTGAAATAGTCATCAGCTTGTTTATAATCATATACATTGTTTTTATTTTCTTACATTTTCTGAAAATTTGATATGGTGTATTCTTATTTCTAATGTCCTGTAAAACTTGTTGTGTGAGAATTTTTATGGCTCCTCTTAAATTTTGGAATTCCATATGATAATACTTCCATAGAGATACTGCCTCAGAAGACCAAGGAGGGGTCGCTATGTGCTGAATCTACTCGACGGCAGTGTTTGGTTTTGTTTGGTGTGATAATAAGGGTTTTGAACAGCCAATTTTCTTGGCTGTTTACAGTATGTTCTTAAATTTAGACAACTCACGGAAACTTCTGTTTCTCAAAGTACTTTTCACATTTTGGGAAATAATTTATATATGGAGAAGCTATTTAGGCTATTTTCTCATTTTCATTTTGATGTGGGTACATGTATGGTGTATCTAGTTCCTTGAAGGATATTTACTTAATAAAAATCACATTAATTTTTTTTTTTTCTGTATTACATACATACAGGCGTTGATATGAGCATATTTGTATGACTGGAAAGTTCTTGCTGTTTTTCAGTGATATGGAGCAGATGGCATCAATGGAGGAGACCACAGCAGTTGAAGATCCCCAGGGCAGCCAGGAAGGGGAATCTCTAGACAAGTAGGATCTTTTCTTTACTTTACCTGTTGGGTTATTGGTCTTTTTCTTAAGTATTCCTGGGAGTGCTTTGCTGAGCTCTGCAAATCTCACCCAGGGCAGGCTGAGTCCTGTAAATTTTTTATTTTACTTATTTTGTTGTTATTGAGAATATACACAGGAAAACATAGAGTTTGAAGGTTAAACCCTTTGTCGTATCGCAGAAATCCCTGGGTGGCACAAACATTTACGTGCTCAGACTCTAACTAAAAAGTTAGTTGTCTGAGTCTACCCAGAGGTGCCTTTGGAAAAAAGTCCTGGAAATCTGCTTCCAAAAAACCAGTCATTGAAAACTCTATGGAGTTTTTCTAGTCTGACACACATGGGGTCACCATCAGTCAAAACTGACCCAATGGTAACTAGTTTGATTTCTGTGGTTGGTTGAGTGGTCTGTTGGGCATATCACGTGTGATCTTCCTAATGTATTAACAACTGATAATTAATAATTAGTTCAGATAATCCAATTAATGGCTAATTAATGAGCTGAATCCAAGTATTCTTCTCTCTGCCCACAACATATTTTCTGTTTAGCAGCTAGTATGGCTCTCTGCAGGAACTCTGCTAGCATAGTGCCTAAGGCACTTGACTGCTAACCAGAAGGCTGGTGTTTCAAACCCACCAGTCTCCTTGGAAGGAAGATGAGGCAATCTACTTCCATAGTGATACTGCCTCGGAAACCCAAGGAGGAGTCACTATGAGTCGGGTCCTACTCGATGGCATATAACAACAACAACAACAATGGCTCCCTGCACTATCACTGGTCTCTCTTATCAGGACCTCTGGACTCTTATCTTTTTTTATGGTTTCACAAGCCCTGCTTCCTCTTCTTTCTTCAGACATCTTCTGTCTCTGGTCCATCTCTAGCATCCCTGCCAAGTCCTTAAATCTTTCCCCTTTGGGCTGTTGCTTTTACCTGGCTGGCAAAAACTGCATACTGCAGGATGCCCAACATCCTGCCTTCTCTCTTCCTACATCCACAAGCTGAGCTCTGCAGGTCTCACCCAGGGAAGGTTGAGTCCTGTAAAAAAAAAAAAAAA